TGCCACCAGTTTCTAGTTACCACAGTTATCTTTCTGAGCTAAGATCTGTTAACTACCTTTTCTGTTCTAAAAACCTTTTGCTCCACACTGTTGACATATGAAACACAAGCTTTTTTGCAGGACTCACAGGGTCCCTTCCCTTTACTTTTCTAACCTTGTCTCTTGCTCCTTGTCATCCTGCCCCAGCTTCAAGCCGTACTGAACAGTAGCACTTTCCAGAATATGCCTCTGTTATTTTTCTCATGCTGTACTTCTGCCTGCAATTCTCTGACCCCTTCATCCCTTCTCTCCTTGGGGAACTCCTCTCTTAAAGGCATCACTCATGGAGTTACCTTCCCTGAAGCTCTGAAAGAAACATTAGTCTCCTCCTCTCTATGTCTGTTATGCATACATCCTGGGTTTAGTGGGAATCATATCAGAGTTATTTGTTTATATTACCCACTCACCCAGCATCTCTTTCCAGGTGGATTGTGAACTCCATGATATCTAGGGTAGTCAGTCTCTAATTTTGTTCATCCTCAGAGTTTGGCACAGTGTTGGGACATACAATATTTACTCAGTAGTTTTTTGTTGGTTGATGTAAAATAAAATAGTAAGCCTCTTCTGTTTTCCTTATAAACAATAAGAAAAGGATTTTAACCCTATTAGTTTGAAGACTAAAATTTTTTTAAAGATTTATTTATTTATCTTAGAGAAAGAGTGAAAGAGCAGGGGGAGGGGCATAGGGAGAGGAAGAGAAAAAGAAGCTTCAGGCAGATTCCCCAGCGTGGAGAGCCCCACGCAGGGCTTGATCCCACGACCCTCAGATCATAACCTGAGCCAGAATCAAGAGTCAGACATTCATTGGACTGAGCCACCCAGGGGCCCCATGAAGATTAAAATTTTTATCTCAGCCTTGCTTGAGCTTGAATTTCCTCATCTTATCTTGAAAGATGCTTCTAATTTTTTTGTCTGTCATAGATCCTTAGGACCAAAGATGGCCCAGGGCTGATCTGGACACTTGGTAGTAGTATTGATAGGAGTCAAAAAAGCCATGGGCCTAATTATGATGATAACAGATGGGGTTTTGGCCTATAGTTGTACATACAGGCTACCAAATGGTGCTTCACCTTGCTAAAAGTGACTAGAGGCTGGTCACCAAGTTTGGACATTATTGAAAGGCATAAGACTATCTTTTTCATTAAACCAGTTCCTAATATTTCATTCAAGAGATGTTCCTGAACTTGCTTCTTTAAGCTTGAGAAATTCTTTCCTGAATTACATTTAGATTCTAACATTGATACTGGTTTTCTGCCTGGGGTCAAGCTTTCATTTTAAGGCAGCAATTTCTACAATTTGTACAAATATGTGTTCTTATATTTTCTACTATCTATAGAATTGCTTGCATCACGAGTTTTCCAGAACATAGTGTCTCAGATGGAAAATTTAATAGAATTTCAGTCTCTTCCAAATTTATTTTTCTATTTTGTTATTACATAATGTTCTTGTTGAATAATTTTTTTTCTTTGTCACTGCTGAGAGTGAAGCCCACATGGTTTTGATATACATTACAGCCGTATTCATGTGAAATATCTTTGAGTTAAAAAAATTACATATTAAATATATCCATGTTTATGCTACAAATTTATGTATTTTTGATTCTCCTGGATTTATTTAGTAACCTCCTTTGATTATTATCAATATGCAGTTGCTCTAACCATAGTATCTAATATACACTAAAATTTAGAAAGCAGTTTCTCTGAAGGCTTTGGAATTGCTTTGTCTGTCTTTATTACAGTAAATAATAAAGTGTTTTTATTTAGAAGTTAAAGTAATTTAGAAATAAGATCATTTTAAGAAAGAACAAGCTGCCTCTAAAAGCCAGACTATCATAGCAATGTAGGTAGGGCAGGTTTACCTGCTTTTCAGCCTTGTCATGTAAAAGAACAAATTATTCCTTTATGATACTTAATGTTATGTGTGCCTGAGACACCTAAGCTGTGGGGTATGAATTGTCACTACCACTTAGAGAAAGTTCCCAAGAGGGGCAGCACTCCCATAGGTTGAGAGCAACAAAGCCTCTCTGCCCCACCTGCTAATCATCAAAATATTTGTGGGCATTGTGGGAAAGGACACATCTGTAGTTTCCATAACTAAGGTGTTGGCATCTGACCAAAGACTGGCACTAAGACAGTGCAGTGGTGAAAGTGAGTCCCATGTGCCCTCTGGGATCTGCCACTTCTTCATATGGTGAACCTCAGAGGTGCCACATTATCACTCATCGTCTGACAGTTAATATATGAGACATGGTCATGAGATAGCCACTTTCTTTCATTTTCAATTTCAAAGCTGCAGATAAACCTTAAGTTTGCAGATCTTTGAGTATTTTGCTAATTTAGCAGATGGAAGTTATATTTAAACTTATTAAGTGAAATAATTACTGGGTTTGTTCCTAGATCCCATCCATATCGTTCAGAGTAAAGGCCTATGCATCAGTTTATTCTGCTTTCAAATTCTTTTGACAGCCTGGATGTGAAATTCAAAAGTCATTAATGTGATGTGTTAATTTTGCACTTTTTGACTTACTGCAAAAAAAAAAAAAAAAAACTTATAGTTTCCATAGCAACAATAACCTATCCAGATTGTGTAATATTCTTTACAGTATTAAAAATAAAACCATGCAATTACATGAGCTTCTGGAGCACTTCATTTAGGGGAACTGGGGACTGAAATATTTCTGTTTTAAAAAATTATGATTTCATTGAAAAATTTCCAGAAAGCTTATGTAATTTTGTTTTAATAAATTTAACAAATTTCTTAAAAATTTAGCAATAGTACTTGGTAGTTAAATTAATTATTAAATGTGAAATTTGCATCGTGAGCATTGTGTTAAACATCTCAGGCCTAAGTGCTCTCACACACATGTTCACACATACATTTAAGTTGGGGGGGGAACATTTGGCTTTAATTACATTCAGTCACCTGCTGTTTGTACTTCTTAATGGCTTCTGGGTGGTCTGAAAAAAGTCTAGCTTTATGTTTAGAGGAAACAGGATAGAGAAAAAGGAAAAAGTGATCACTTAAGCTTTCCCTAGTTTTGACTTTGCTTTTTGAAACATGTCTAAGATAATACTTTGAAGATACTAAGGATTATTTTAGTAGGTGACTATTTTCAGGGTGTCAAATTATTTTGGCTTTTCTCTTTTTCCCTCTAATTCTAATTTAAAAGACAATATAATATAATATCAGCACTAAAGTTAATTAACATAAGTTCCTACATCTTAACACACTAATTTTCATTTTTTTATCATCTTCAGCATATGTCTGGATGTATGTGTATTTTTATATGGTGTAATTTGTGTATTCTTTCACTAATATATAATAAATATTTTCCATTTTCTGATGATGGTCATGAATATCATTTTAATAATTGCATAACAGTCTATATCCTTTTGATATATCTGGTGTGTTTTCTGTTTGTCAAAATGCTGCTTAATTATTTCCTGAATGCCATATATTGGAAGAAAAATAGATATAATTTTCAAACTAATTGTGGGAGAAAAGTAACTATAATTCATTTATTTGCCCAAACCATAGATGATTGTGAAAATCTTCAAAAGGCATGTAAAACGTTTTAAAATAACAAATAACCTCTTAAACTGCTTTATTTGCGGGGCACCTGGGTGGCTCATTCAGTTAGGTGTCAAACTCTTGATTTCAGCTCAGGTCTTGATCTCAGGATCTCAGGGTCTCGAGTTCAAGCCCGGTGTTGGGCTCCATGCTATGTGTGGAGCCTACTTACAAAACTGCTTTATCTGCTAGTAAACACAGAATGGGGAAGATAAGGAATAGGTAAGTAGGACAGATATGGCACAATTTAGGTGCTGTCATTTGAGAAAACCATCATGACATGATGAAAGTTTGCTGAGTTTCCAATATAATCAAAAGGCAAAACTCATAGGGTGTGGATGATACTCCTCTTATCAGAACAACCCATAATATGAACCACATTTCTGACATTTTGCTATGTCCGGTTCTGGTGTCAGTACCCTGAGGATACTGTGTTGTGATACTATTTTTTTTTTTTAAGATTTTATTTATTTATTAGAGAGAGAGAGAGCATAAGTTGGGGAGAAAGGCAGGGGCAGAGGGAGAGGGAGGAGCGGGCTCTCCGCTAAGCAGGGAGCCCAATGTGGGGTTTAATCCCAGGACCCTGGTGGGATCATGACCTGAGCTGAAGGCAGACACTTAATGACTGAGCCACCCAGACGCCCCTCATGTGATACTATTTTTTAATGGACTGTATCACCATTATTGAACTGATGTCTTCCCTTGGTTGAGCACCCTGGTAATTACTGGGATTTCCCAGAATTCCTAACCCTGCCTACATTATTTGGAAAATTCACTGTACCTACTAGGTTTTTCCTAGAGTTCTTGAGAATGAGATGAGTTGGTGGCTAGAGTTTTAAAGACTTTCTAAGGCTTTTGGTTGAGGTCTTGAGGCTTTTGAATGTCCCCTATCCTAGGTCAGAAGTAGGGTATCCCAATGGGTTGACATATTTCTAGAGCCCATCCCTCCTATTAAGTGGTTCTTTTATACTATGAAATTACTTTAAACAAATATAGAAGTTTACATCTGTCATTTATTTTTGTAGTTAATGTTTATAACAGAATGCTTTCATAGATTACAGATAATTAAGACAGGAGTAGAATTATCTTGCAATATGCTTGAGTTTATATTTATGCTTGTTTACTTTTTGAAAGTAGTACTGTGTTTAGTATTCTGTTTCAATTTTGAATTTTGTGTTTTGGCTCTGTCTACTGTTTTCATTGTAACATGAATTTTTTTTGGTATTTCATATTTCTGTAGTTGTAATATTATCAGAAGCAGTAAGCAATGCATGCATAGTGAGAGTTTATATATCACTGAGAGACTAGTGTATTTTTATTGTTTTTGTAGTTATGATTTTGAATCTGAAAATAATGTTTAGAAAAAATAATATTTTTTTGTTTGTATGCAGGAAAGATGAAAAGGAATATGCATTGAAGCAAATTGAAGGCACAGGAATATCCATGTCGGCTTGTAGAGAGATTGCAGTAAGTGGATATCAATATGTTATTTATTTTGTTATTGATATTGGATGATGAGTGATATTAAAATGAAATAGTTTCATATGTATTCCTTGCATAATTATTTCAAAGAGGTCGATTAGTTTAATATTTTATATGAGAAAAGCTGCATAAACTTTTTAATTACTTGAAAGTCATCTTTAAACATTCTCAGTGATATTTAGGATTTATAATCTTAGGAATACTGAACTACATGATGATTTAATTAAATTATGAATTAATATAATTCATTATTAATATAATTAATCAGTATAACTAATCAATAATTATATTGATAATTAATCAATATAATTCATTATTAATACAATTCATTGTTAAAGTAATAATTTGATTAATGTTTATTTTTCTTGTAATTTTAGGACTGATACATGTCTACAGAGAAAGGGGTGATATTAGATATTAGATATTATGCATATTAAATATTTTTTCTGAAATACATGTTTTAGTACTAGGTTTTACTAGTTGCTAGAAAAATAGGGCTATCATTATAATAATAGGTTAAATCCTTAAAGAAAGATCATTTCTTTTTTTTTTTTGTCTTTATATGACATACTTGTGCATTTAAGAAATGATTGTCTATAAGAATACCTAACATTTACTGAATGTTTACTAGGTACCAGGCTTACTAAGTGATTTCAAGAATTAATTAATTTACTTTTCACAACAATCATATAAAATAAGTACTTTTAATATCCCCACTTAACATATCAGTAAACAGAGGCAAAGCCATAATTATGGCTTAGAAGGCTTACCATTATATTACCTTTAGTTCAGTTTCTTATTTTAGTTCTTTAGTTTCTTCTTGGGGCTTTATCATGATATCACATCAGTTAGGAATTTCTGTCTCTAAATTGTTAAATATTTATATTGTCTATATCCATTAGGTATTTCCATTTCTAACTTGGTAACTGTACACATATTGCACACAGTTCCGTGTTTCTGCCTCACCCACATGGAAGTACTCCATCACCGCTCAAAGAAAATGTGTGGTTCAAAGAACACAGGAGCAGGAAATCTGTAGACCTGAGTGTGTCTGTTGGCCTGAGTGGCTAATTAGCCATGAGTACCATTTTCTTTATTTGTGAAATAAGGGAACTATAAGGTCTCTTCTAGTCATAAATTCTTTGCTTTCAGAATGGGAACTTCTCCCTAGACTGTGCACACTTTAAGGGGCAGAAACTTTGTCTTTTTATCCCCAGTTCCTAGCATAGTGCCTGGCACATAGCAGGTGGTCCATAAATGTTTGTTGAATTAATAAATGAATAAACAGAACAAAAAACTTCTGCTAGCAGTCCATGATCCTAAGTTTGCTTTAGAATATAAATATATTGTTTAAAAACTCCAGTTTGGCAGTTTTCTATTAATTATAAAGTGGTGTTTGTAATGCCTTGCCAGAATAAGCATTTTTGGTAAGTGATTTTAATTCCCTAAAATTCTTAAACATATTATCTCAACCAATATGAATATGGTGTACAATTTTGCTATTATAGAGTACCATCGTTTAGTATAGCATTAATTCACTTTCTACGAGTTAATTGGGAAAAAAGTTGATATTTAAGGTATTAATTATTAGGAAAGGAAAACCCAGTTGTAGATGTTGTTTTCGAAATAGAGACTTCTCTATGATGAGGAATCCATGTGTTCCCTTTTCTCTACATCCTCACTAGCATTTGTTATCTCTTGTCTTTTTGATGATCGTCATTACAGGTATGAAGTGATATCTCATTGTGGTTTTGATTTGCATTTCCTTGATGATTAGTGATGTTGAGCTCCTTTTATGTACCTGTTGACCATTTGTTTGTTGTCTTTGGAAAAATGTCTATTCAGTTCCTCTGCCTATTTTTTAATTGGATTTTTTTTTTTTTTTTTACTATTGAGTTGTATGAATTTCTGATATATTTTGGCTATTCTTGTTTTTTCTTTTAAAATATTTTATTTATTTGAGAGAGAGAGAGCAAGCATGAGTGGGGGAGTGGGAGGGGCAGAGGGAGCAGCAGACTCCCTGCTGAGCAGGGAGCCCAATGAGGAACTTGATCCCAGGACCCTGGGATCATTACCCGAGCAGAAGGCAGATGATTAACTGACTGAGCCACCCAGGTGCCCCTATATTTTGGATATTAACCTTTTATCAAATATATGGCTTGCAAATATTTTCTCCCATTCTGTAAGTTGCCTTTTCATTTTGCTGATTGTTTATTTTGCTGTGCAGAGGCTGGAAAAGCATGACCCATCCACAGTCTTCATCTTTTTATTGAGAATTTGCTTAATAGACCTTTAGGAAGTATGCAGTTTCTGGATTGAGTAGTATTTTATCACTACCTGAATGACCTAACCCCAATGTGATAGTGATTTTGACATAAGTTGAACATGGACGTTATTATGTAGTGGCTAAGTGCATATATACTCCTTTGTACCTTATAAGCCTGCTAACACAGTTTTGTAATTATTGCTTTATGTAGTTGTCTTTCAGATCATATACAAGGAAAATAAGTTACAAACAAAAATACACTTATGCTCTTTTTTTTTAACCCATGTTTTTACCTTTACCAGTGCCCTTTATTTTTTGTGTAGATGAATTACTGTCTATAGTCCTTTCATTTTAACTGAAGGTCTCCCTTTAGTATATTTTTATTATTTATTTATTTATTTATTTTAAAGCTTTTATTATTATTTATTTGACAGAGAGAGACACAGTGAGAGAGGGAACACGAGCAGGGGGAGTGGGAAAGGGAGAAGCAGGCTTCCCACTGAGCAGGGAGCCCGATGCGGGGCTCGATCCCAGGACCCTGGGATCATGACCTGAGCCGAAGGCAGACGCTTAACCGACTGAGCCACCTAGGTGCCCTAGTATATTTTTATAAAACAGATCTGCTAGTGATGAATTGTCTCAGTTTTTGTATTTGAGAATGTCTTACTTGCTTCTTTGTTTTTCTTTCCTCACCTGGTTCTCCTTTGATTTCATAGGATAGTTTTGCTGGATATGGAATTATTTACAGTGTTTTTTTTTCATCACTTTGACTATGTTAATCCACTGCCTTCTGGCCTCCCTGGTTTCTGATGAGAAGTCAGTTGTTAAATTTATGAGAATCTCATGTATACAAGGAGTTTTTTTCCTGTGACTTTCAAGATTCTCTTTTTGTCTTTCTCTTTTGACAGTTTGACTATATGTGTGTAAGTGTGGATCCTATTTGGAATTTGTTGAGTTCTTGGATGTATAGATTAATGCTTTTCATCAAATTTGGAAAATATTCAACCATCATTTCTTCAAATATTGCTTCAGCCCCTTTCTTTCTCTCCTTTCTCCTGAGACTCACATCATGCACATGTTTATAGGCTTGCTGGTGTCCCATAGGTCTCAGACGCTCTTCTTATTTTTCCTAATTATTTTTTTTTCCTATTTGTTGCAGACAGGATACTTTCAATTGCCTACCTTCAAGGTTGCTGATTCTTTGTTCTGCCAACTTGGATATGCTGCTGAAGTTTTCATTTTAGTTGTACTTTTCAATTCCAAAATTACTATATGTTTCTTTTAATAGACCTTATTTTTTAGAGCAGTTTTAAGTTTACAGCAAAATTGAGTAGAAAGTCTAGAGATTTGCTATATATTCCCTACTCCACACATGCATAGCCTACTTCATTATCAACATCCCCCACCAGAGTGGTACAATTATTACAATTGATGAACTTATGTTGATACCCAAAATCCATAGTTTACATTAGGTTTCACTATTGGTATTGTATATTCTGTGGGTTTGGATAAATGTTTAATGACATGTATCTACCATTATTGTACCATACAAAATATTTCCACTGCCTTAAAAATACTTTATGCTCTGGCTATTTATCCTATATACCCTCCCACCCTGCCTTGGTCCCTGACAACCATTGATCCTTTTACTGTTTCCATAGTTTTGTCTTTTCCAGAATGGCCTATAGTTGGAATCATACAGCATGTGGCCTTTTCAGATTGGCTTCTTTCACTTAGTAATGGACATTTCAGATTCCTCTATGTCTTTTATGGCTTGATAGCCCATTTCTTTTTAGCACTAAATAGTATTCCATTGTCTGGGTGTACTATAGTGTGTTTATCTATTCATCTACTGAAGTACATCTTTGTTGCTTCCAAGTTTTGGCAATTATGAATAAAGCTGCTGTAAACAGTGTGTGCAGGCTTTTTGTGGACATAACTTTCAGCTCTTTTGGGTAAACACCAAGGAGTATAATTGCTGGATTGTATGGTCAAAGTATGTGTACTTTGGAAGAAACCACCAAACTGTCTTCCGAAGTGGCTGTACCATTTTGTATTCCCACCAGCAATGAATGAAAAGTTCCTGTTGTTCTACATCCTTGCTAGCATCTGTTGTTGTCAGTATTCTGGATATTAGCTGTTCTAAGTATCTTATTGCTGTTTAATTTGGGACTCTGCTTTAGCCTTCATATCCTGCTTAAGAAATTAGAGCCTTTTTTTATCTATTTCCTGGACATGTCCACAGTTTTGCACATGGGCATAGTTACAGTCTTTTTTTTTTTTTCTTTATCCTAGTTACACTCTTTCCTACCTGGTTCCATTTATAGAAAATTCTGGAATATGCAAACTAATCTATGGTAGTATGTAGTAGATCAGTGACTATTTGAGGATGGCAATGGAAATGGAAATATTACATAGGAGTATGAGGAGTCTTTGGAGATGATGTAAGTCTTCATCATATTGATTGTCATGATGGTTTCATGGGTGTGTAGCTATATCAAAACTCATAAATGGTATGCTTTAAATTTGTGCAGTTTATTGCACATCAATTATATCTCAGTAAATTTGGAAGAAAATAATAAAGCTGTATGAGTTTATTAGTGGACAAAACTCTGTAAATGAAGAATTTCTAAAAATCAGTGGATCATAGCAAAGCTGGAGGGGTAGACCTTGAATAGGAAATGGAAAAGCTAGTTTATCCTCTGAAACTGCAGTGAGA